CCTGCTATCATCACCACCATCTCTTCAGTGATTACCATATCTGCCCCTCGTTTCTCAAGCAAAAGCATCATCACCTCTTTTTCACATTGACCTGCTATCATCACCACCATCTCTTCAGTGATTACCATATCTGCCCCTCGTTTCTCAAGTAAAAGCATCATCACCTCCTTTCCACTCCTCCAATTCCCCGCTGCTGCCTTCATCACCTCTTCCGTAATTACCATATCTGCCCCTCGTTTCTCAAGTAAAAGCATCATCACCTCCTTTCCACTCCAATTCCCCGCTGCTGCCTTCACCACCTCTTCCGTAATGACCACATCTGCCCCTCGTTTATCAAGCAAAAGCATCATCACCTCCTTTCCACTATCTTCATTCTCAGCTGCTGCCTTCACCACCTCTTCCGTAATGACCACATCTGCCCCTCGTTTATCAAGCAAAAGCATCATCACCTCCTTTCCACTCCATTCATTCTCAGCTGCTGCCTTCACCACCTCTTCCGTAATGACCACATCTGCCCCTCGTTTCTCAAGCAAAAGCATCATCACCTCTCCTCCACTCCTCCAATTCCCCGCTGCTGCCTTCACCACCTCTTCCGTAATTAATACTCTCTCTGAATATGGCCAATTTAGCAATTCTCGAAATACGTTTATGCTTGACTTAGCAGCAGGAACAATATAACTATCACCTAACTCTTCTGTTAATCTATTGGGGATCATACTTGTGAGGACTTTTGCTAGCCATTCCTTATCAATTACAATTGCAATAGTCCAAATCGATATCGGTATCGTTTCGTATCGCAAATAATTATTTATGTTTCTACTCACCCAGAGCGCCTGACCTTTTGCATTTAACACAGATTCCAGTTGTTCTATATTGTCTTGCGCTTCTTCTAATGTATTAATATGTTCATACCAGTAGTTTGCGGCGTAGGAAAGGAAGTCGTCCTCATCTCCTGTTCTTGATTCCACAATATCCTCAAAATGCAGATAAGATATACAGGTATTGGCGAGGAGAATTCCCGGTCGTTTAAATTGATCCAATATCTCTGCTTTTTCCAATATGCCCGATCTTTTCAGAAAATCTCGTAATGTTTGATGGATTAGAAAAGGGTTCGGGCCAATGACATCTATCAAGCTGCCTAGATTTGTTTGAATAACTTTAGAATTTAAAACGATTCTTTGTTTTTCGCAATCTTTTAAACTTCTCGCGCCTTTCGCCATACTAACAGCAAGAGCATCTTCCAGTTCCCGAAAATGTAGTGGACGTACTGCATATGTTATCCAAGCTAATATTACCCCGTATTTTGGGGTTGTTAACAATTTCTGAACAAGATTCTTGTACAAAGCGTCGAGCTCTAATGGAATCTGTTTTATTTTGTTCTCAATCTCATCGATAGATGGTGATGGAATTTTTCGGAGCTCGCGGAGAACTATACTTATCCAAAGGAATGTTCTTTTCTCTTCTGCTTGTGCAGCCTTAGTAATGATTTTCTTCATATCATCTCTAAATCCATCTTCTTCTTCGAATAAGGACAACTCAAAGTTGATGAAGAGCGTTAAGTCTTCTGTAGAAGCGCGAAGTATCTTCTTGTGTGAGAATTTAATGCTTGTTACCCATTCTGGTCTGCTTGTACAAAACAGTTGAAAAAGAGGCTTTCTATTAATGTTGCGTTCCTCTGGAGCGAAGTGTTTATCCAAATATTGAAGTAGATCTTCGATATCTGTACTATATACATCAAGTCCATCAATGATGCAGTAAACACGATCGTATGGGTTTTTTGTGATCATATCATGAAAAATATTCCCAAGTTTAGCAAACGATTCTGTGGCGAATTGTTTGGGTGTATCCTTTAAATTTTGTGGAAGCCTTTGGTATAATCTTTGATCTTCGCAAAGTTGAACAATGAGAGACCGAAAAATGGCTGATGCTGTTCGAAACCTTTCTTCGTTTTTGATATTGCAAAAATAGTAGATAATTTTACTATTAGAGCTTTGTTGGTCAATCCGGTCTTTGAGATGATCCACCACGAAATTAGATAGCACAGACTTTCCCTGGCCAGGTGTTCCGATCACCAACAAAAAGTTTGATTTCTCAGAGTCCCGCCATTCAATAAAGTCTTTTGCTTGAAGACCATCAGTGCGGCTTTTATCTTGCAATGGTTGATCATCGATCAACCATTGTAGAGTTCCCTTAACTGCTGTTTGTACTTTATTTGACTCCTTGAAACTTGTATAAGGAGGATCATTTAGGTCATCCCAATGGCACTTTTCATCTGCAGAGAGGTCTTGGAAAATTAGATTTGATAGCCTAATAATATATGATCTAAGAATCACATACTTTTAATTGAAGCAAACCTTGCTTCAGCAATATTAGGCGCTTTATCAACAAGCCCTTTTAATGAATCAAGTACTCGCTTGTAATCATCATCATACTGATTAGAGAATTTGACCAGATCTGAATGATCTCTAAGGAGTCCCTCTTCGTAGCAAAAGTTGTCATTGAAGCCGATTTGACAAGCCGAATTCTTCGAAACCATGTAGCAAAGCGGTCCATCCTTCACCAACAATCCATTGTCCAACTATCAAAAGACATCAGGAATTGTCTTGCATCAAGGGAGACTTTAAACATACCTTTCTAACCATCTGAGTCTCCCTCAACTCGTAATAAGATCTTATCTGAAACTGACCTTCCCTGCAGCATTGTTTAAATTTCTGTTTAATCGTGCTTAAGAACTGAGTTGGTTCATGATCTTCGTCATTCACTTGGAGATCCTTAATCATTTGTTCGTTAAGTCCTCCGGCTACAATCTGCATGAGGGATTTGTTGTTAAGCCCTAAGTTAGGAACCCCAAAGAACATTAAACCGTAAGATGATTTGAAAAATCACGGTTTTCGGGGTTCTCACTGCCCATCAGAGCTATATATAATGCCTAGAGTCCATTTATTAGTTTGCAAGGCTTCAATGCGGAATATAGAAGACGAACTTCTTTGACTAGCAAACCTCCAAGGCTATGAGCTACGAAAATAATGGGTCTTTGGCTTGTCTACAGATTCATTATTAGCATAAAAAATGTATATATGTAATTGTGATTATAACCTTAGTGGCTGAGCGAAACGCTCTGATCGAACTGAGAAATGCTTTTGCTAGATCAGAAATAGACAGTTTTGCATTTCTATCCAGAATTGATGTATCGTATCCATAAGCCAGAATCCGAGCAGATGGTAAATCTTCAGGAAGAAACTCGCGAATCCAGACACCATCTTTTCCTTTGAACGAGCCGATTGGATGGCTACCTAGACCTGGGATAGAAATGATGCTATTATATATTAATTACTATTGCTCCTGATATCAATATATATTTAACTTACTCAACGGATGCGTTATCGCCTTCAAAAAGAGGAGTGATTCCAAGGAAATTGTCATCGACGGTATAATACGTTGGCAAAAATTTCCCCGGATTTTCAAATGAATTAAGCGTTGCCATCGACTTGGAGGAAGATGAATTTGCTAACGTCAGATAGCAATCGGATTTATACATTGGTAAACTGTCTCTAAGCTCTTTTTCCAAAGATTCTTTCGTTTTTCCGATCGGTATTCCTTGAATGCGAAAACATTTGAGCTTTTTCGGTCGCGGATTTATCTTTGTGGTCTCCTTGGCTTCCAGACTTCTTTGTTCTTCGTGGTTTTCGCAGTTGATGCCATAGTAAATGCGAAATAGATATTAGCGACAATGATAAGAGCCATTGCATATAAAAGCTCTTTTGTTAGTTTGATATCCATTATTGTTAGTTGTCGTTTTGAAAAAAAAGGATTATTGATTGCATGAGTTGGTGAAGGAATGAGGGAGGGAGTGGATTTGTTTTGATAAAACTATTCAAAATCTTGCCTAGGTATGCCTTTAACAAGCTTCATCATCGTGGTGGGGGGGGAATAGAGATAATTGGCCACGGGTAAAAAATATCAAAATACTCTTATCCTCAGAAGCGCCGTGACTGAGCAGAAATTGGTTGGGTGTGAAGGGGTAGCCTTACAGTTTATGTTGAATTCTCATGTATGGGCTGGCAAGAAGATAGCCTTTCGATGCATGTAAACTTTCATCTGAGACTATTCAGCGGTACTTGTATATTCCACGTATTACAACGAGTGGTTCTTCCAATACTACCTCGTCTCGTACCACTTCTTGGATTTTATTTAAGTAATGTATTAATCCAAATGAATCGATCGTTTCCTCTTATAATAATCTGTATTTTCCAAAACAAACAACCCTTGATCATTTCAATGCAAGAACCACCATTTGCGAAAGCTGATCAGCTCAACGATGAGCTTGACATTATAGCAAGTCCAACAGCGCCTGCAATATCAACAATACGCCTACCAGGTCAACCACGCATCTATATAAATCAGTATGCAAAAGTTGATGATTTTCTCAAACAAGAGTTTCTTCTAAAAGACCTAGAGAGTATCTCTCCATATCTATGGATGATGTCAAAGCATGACAGTAAAAGCATCTCTCCACTACATCGCCAAAAGGTCAAAGGTCGCGATATCGTTATCACTGAAGATCCACGACTGCATTTAGTGTGGTATCACGACCGCATATTTATCAAACCACTCCCAAAATACCTTTTATCCCACTATTTTTGGGAGGCCTATCTTTGCATCAATCGCCACTCTTCACCAGAGCAGATTACTCTTCAGAAAGCAGTTCTAGGATATCTCAGAACATACATCTATCTCATCAAATATGAATCCGATTTTCGTATAGCTATCGATGATAAACTTCAATTAATCCCTCCTGATATTACCTTTCTAAAATTCTGCGATTTTATCGCATCTTTGGAAAACCTTCCTGATATCGACGTTTCTGGACGATATGCTTATGGCGAGATTCGACTCACAAGACTCAATCTGTATTCGAAAATCTTCTTAAAGAAGTTCAGCTTCCACCGTGTTCGTATACAATACTCCGACTATTTCGCTTCGTTCTATGGGCCTTTACTTTTTGTATTTGCGATAGTTTCAGTGGTGCTGAGTGCGATGCAGGTTTCTATGGCGATTAACTTTGATGTGACTAAGCAGTGGAAATCTTTTGAGCAGTTTTGCCAATGGTTTAGTATCATTTGTCTTTCTGTAGTGGCAATTTTGGTTCTTTGGCTTGGTTTGTTATTCTTATATAAATTTATAAAGGAGTGGGTTTATGCCATCAGTGAGCATTGGAGAAGAAAAAACTGTTCTAGGTTCTGATTAAGCAGATGGACCTTTTGAGCAAGGTATTGACAATTCCAAAAGGATCTCTCGGCTTTTGGATCCATTGGCAGGCGTGGGTGAAGGGATGCAAGTATGCACAAGGTGGATTCATTCATAGCATTCAAAGATACCGACCCAAACCATAGCATTCGTAGAACTTTACCATCTCCATCACATTAAACTCAAGAGTTACCCGTGATTTTCATTGGCAAATATAATACTTTATGTCTAAGTAAGGCGGTTTGGACTGCTGAATCCCACAGGTTTGGCCGCTGATTTATGCAGTCTTGGCCGTTGGCTAAGCCACTTGGCGCTTACACCTCCGGCGCCTTACAACTTCAGAAAACCGCAGTCTACTCCTTCTTCCAAAAGCCGTTTCTTCTCATCCTCGATTCAGTCTCGTGGGCCCAGACAAGTGAGCATCTTATCCACAAACCATAAGCCACAAGTCACAAGCCACAAACCACAAACCACATTGAATCCTATCTCACGTACTCTCCATCCAAATACATTTTGCAGTTAAGGGTTCTTACCAGAGCTGTCACAACCTCGAAACCAACTCTTGAAACCACTCTACAACTCATGATGAACAAAAATGAAATTCAAAAATAAAACCGGAATGATATATTAAGAATCCCAGCGAATTGAAAAGAATAAAAGAACAAAGTTTATAATTGGTTTATTTAGTTATCCTATGTATGTTCCCATTGACTATTGTTTCTTGTACTACTTTACTTCTATTTGTACAAATTCTACCAGCTTAAGATTTCTCCTCCTTCTCAAGCTCACCTACTCTTCTTATATTTGAACTGTAGAATAATTAATGATGGTCATGATGAAAACTTCTGATCTGCCACCATCACCTCCTACACCACCACCACCACCACCACATTTTCCATCTGTCTACGTTAGACGTGAAACGTTCAGCAAAATGAGCGAAGATGCAAACGAGCAGCATAAAGTTCTACAAGTTCAATTTCTTGCAGCAGACTACAAGTCCCAACTCCTTGGAACGTACGACGATCAGCAAACGAATCTCGATATTTCGAATTCAAAGACTGTTACTATAAAAGTTACTGCTCAGCAAATCAATCTACGTGGAAACAATCGCATATTCATCTGTCGATATCCTTCAATCAAAGATCAATATCAAGATTCCGATAACGATAACGATTCGAAATTTCCTAAGATATTTATTGCCAAGGAGTTTGGGGATAATAAAGATGAACTTGATCTTTATGAGCATCTTTTATCTTTACAAGGTGTTTATATTCCTAAATGCTTTGGGGAAATCTATTGGAAGGATGAAGATGAGGAGATAATATATCAAGGAATTGCACTTGAATTTCTTGAAGGATTTCGATGTTTAGAAGATACTGATGCCAAAAACGATCTTATGTATAAGAAATTCAAAAAGGTTTTAGAAGTTATTGGGAGCAAAGGGATATTTCATGGAGATATTGCATTTAGGAATCTTATGTGGCATTCAGAAAACGAAGAAGTAAGTATGCAAAGACGTATACTGAAATTTTGATAAGAGATGGAATTTCGATTCAGAAACGGAATTTTATCGAATTAGAAAGCATTTTCGATGTGAAAGATAGCGATATCATTCATGAATATTTGCCAACTAATGTCGCCAAACCAAGGTGGATGTTGGATCCACCTGTTTTACCGAGGGAGATGCTTGAACGGAACGATTGGAGGAGAACAGGTGCACGATTGAGGAAAAACAGGTGGATGATTGAAGGAAATAGGAGGGATGATTGAAGGAAAACAGGTAGATGATTGAAGGAAATGTTACATCGGATGTAACATGATCACGTTATAACATCATGTGATAGGTAGGGTCACGTGAGTATCTCAGTGGGATCAGTAGTCGCAGAAGGACTGGGACAACTGAGAGCCCTGGGATGGATAGCATGAAGGTCTATATAATGAAGATGGATTTCCTTTGTAGAGATTCGTGCTCAGGATCAATCATTTAGTATACTCTACTATTAGTTACGAATAGCATATCATTACTGTTGTTACTTAAGTCCCTGCTTGACGCCTAGTTATAAACCTATCTCGAGAGCCTAGAGCACTTCCACGTGATCCAGACGGTTACCCTCGTAACACATAGCTCCATTGCATCTAGTATGGTATGATCATAAAAGGATCCTCCTCTTATGCACCGCCATGAGTGGCTCCAAAATACTACGCTGAATTGGCCTTGCTGCCGAAAATCCAAAATACTTGAACAAATATAAGCAATTCAAGTAAGTTTAACAAGTTAAGTACTCTTCACACTTTGTTGTCATCACTCTTTTGCTTTCTTACTGTCCTTCGAAGTGTAGTACTTGCTATGCGGGTACTTCAAAATGTTTATTTGCAATTAATTTTGCTTGCGTTTGCGAGTTTAGTCCATTCATTTCGTTTCACGAACAATGCCTTCAATCCTGTGTTAGGACAACAGTTTACAATCACCTGGATTGATTCAACTGGTTCTGTAAATCTTCATTTAGTTCCAATCCAATATTACAATGAAAGTATTCCACTTGCCAGTGCAGAATCCATAGGAGGGGTGTTGTTGACCTCCTGGGATCTTGGCAGCATATGCATATATAGTACATATGCATATAAGGAGCAAACAAAACTCAACTTTTAATTCATTCTTTCCTTTTTGGTATACTGTTTGTTTGCTTTCAATATTTTGATTTCAAAGCACTTTAATTCCGAAGGCCGAATACCCAACCTATTCCTTCATTTTTTGAATATATACTCGCAGCTTAACTGCTCAGCTAGAAAATCAGTCAATTCAATCTGATGCTCTTTCTAGTCTCAAGAAACCCAACAGGTGTTTTAGGTCGACAGATATTAAGACGTTCGTAGGAGAAACTGACAGTAGGAATGACAGTTGTAACAACGGGAAATTCATTACCTTGGACCTGATAATTCGCTTCAAGCAGGAGTTTATAAAATATATTGGGTTTCTCCAGACAATACTCAATCTGTGAATAGTCCCACGTTCACACTCGGTCAATTTGCTTCGGGCTCTTCGAACAGTACAAGCAACTCAAACAAAAACCAATCTAGCTCCAACGACTCAAACAAAACCAGTTCAACAACCGGAACATCAAACCCAACGGCGACGAAAGGGGAGGCAACCTCATCTTCAAGTTCAACAATAAACACCCCATCAGAAACAAATCAAACCAACTCCCTCACAAACACAAACAAAATCACCATCGCAATTAGTATAACCCTCGGCCTAACCCTCCTCCTAGTCATAGCTTTCATGCTCATCCGACATCGTCGCCATCTAGCTTCTATCCCTCGAACAAAAAGACAACTCACCATCAGAGAAATTGCCGATGACATCGACAAAGATTCCTGGTACTCATCGGTCCATCCTCCACTGCTCCATCTACCATGATTGACTCCTCCACATTGAACTTTGGTGGGCATTCACGAACAACCAGCGATGGTAATCACTGCTATTCACCATCATCCCCTATAAACCCCACATATGCAGAGCCGGCAACCACTACCGAGTATCGAGAATGGCCGTTTCAAGGTTTCCTAAAACGTACCATAATTGGGAACGATACCATATACACTCTCGAATTTCAGTTACAACATGTACCGGAGCATCTGCACCTGCCTGTTATTGCGGAAGCATTAGATGCTAATACATTTGCGCAAACCCAGAGCTCTTGCAGTATTCTATATTCCGAAGTACGTCCAATAGGACCTAAAGAAAAGCGCGTTCGGTGGGAAGCAGATGAGCACGAGACGATAGTAAGGATGAAAAAGGACGATTGTTCTTGGAAGAAAATTTATAACACCCTCCCGCACAGGACACAAGCAGCGATTCAGGTACAGTATTCTACAAAACTCAAAAAGTAATCACAACATAGAAGCAACTTTTTAATGGAATTTCTAACTGAGGGGGGATTTTTAAATGGTATAACGTGAATGAGTACGATTTCAACCTCTACTACAACCTATTCTTCTTGGTTGGCCATCCCTTTTTTTGCAATCTCTACTCTAACTTGGTGCTCAACTACTCAAGCTTGCCTTATTCTCTTCTCAGCCAACAAAGAAAGCATCCAAACCCTCCTATCCCAGTCCGAATAATTTTATTCCTCCCCTCGTTGGCTTGAGCTTGAGTACGTTAGGTTCAAAAGTCTAACAATATATTAGATAAGTGACAAATGGGCTTTTCCACTATACCTTCTTCTTTCTGCCTTTGCCTCCGCCTTTTCTTTCAATCTTTCCTCTTCCCTTTGTCTTGCCTCATCTTCGTATTGACGATTTGATTGAAGACTCTCTAGTAAATATATCACACTTCCTTTGTTAACGCTTCCTTCCCAATTTGTTTTCTCAATTACACATTGTTCCAAATCGAAAATCATTACTCGATCTCCAACATCAATAGCATTATCCAACTTTGGATCTTCATGAGTTACTCCGTGTGTAGTTAATGCTTTGTAAACCTCTTCTAACTTTCTTTTGAATTCATCATCCTCTCCATGTTTCATCGTAAGATCATATAATCTTCGGCCGATGATTTCGGATAGAACTAATGCCGGTGATCCATCGTATGTTGCTTCCCCATAGAAATAAGGTATGAATCTTCCTTGAAGAGGCTGAAGACGACGATACATACGTTTTTCAACCTCAAATTCGTTATCCCAATCAGGTTTGCGCTTCTTTACAATCACGATTGATGGCAAAAACCATTCGGGATAAGTTGTTTTAATACTTGGGCACAGGCTGAAAAGACTTTTAAGTATCGATTGAATAAATAGAACTGGGATGTAATCGAGAATCGATGGTTTTTCAATCTTCAAACGGTAAACAGTTCGTTGTGGATCAATCCTATCGGCAGTAGTTGCAGTAACCAATCTTTGACCCATGCGAAATTCCTGAAAAGATTAGATTTATTGTGTCAGATTGTAAGACTAAATCATCTTACCAATGGCCCTTGGATCTCATCGGGATCTAACTTAATAGAGTAGTAGTCCGACGAAGCTAATAGTGGTGGTGAAGGTGGTGACGGAGGAGGGTGAGGGGTAGAAGAAACTTTAGCCATATTGAAGAACTGAATGTAACTAATGCTAAGTGCAAATTAAAAATTTCACTCATGCGATAAATATGAGTTATATATAAATAATCAATCATAGTTACAGAAAACACTGGTTGTTTGCTTGCATGTATGTTCCCGCTCTTCCCTATCACCCAGCTCAATTGTACTCCGAAAAGAGATCATACCTGAATAAAGTCCCCAAATAACCTCCCCATCCTCATCCTTCACCGGGATTTCCATCCGTATCGATCCAAAACCAAGCCTCCTTATTGAAGCTCCGCATATAACCAGCTGGATGATCCCATAATTTGTCATGCCCATTTGTCCAAGAGGGCCGTCCTGACCAAAAGCGGAATTCCCGCCTCCAACCATCGAGTAAGATATCCATTGAATTTGACCACATCCCCGTCATACGCATCTAACCTCGCCATAGTAGCCGAAAAAGCGCATATCAAACCCTACATTCCAAGCCTGCTTCCTCCGGCGTTCTTGCCAAAATGCAACAATCAACAACACAGTTTGCTGATTTGATATCTTCGACATTTTTCGCTCTGAATTGAACCATCAACAAGTGTCTTCCATCGTATACAAAAACCTGTGGGCATTTATAAACAAATGCATATCTTCCTTTGTTAGAAAATCCATTTCCTATAAATAAAATGGAAAAAGAAGCTTACCCTCTTAGTTCTTACTTCTGGATTGTGTAGCAAGTCCTCGATTGTATCATTTGGATTATAAGTTTGAAGCCTTTTGATAATTGAATGAATATTAAACACTATGGACATAAAACATGTATAGATGTTTTGATGAAAGAATAAAGAGGAAGTGCAAAGATCCCCATCGACTTCATACCACCTTTCGCGCTAGGCCAAAAGGATGAATTCTAAAGCACTGTGTATTCAAATGGCCGAAACGGGCTTAGAGCCCCGATAATTTTATCCCACATCCTCGCTTATAATATGGATTCCATTTGCTTGCCTCGCTAAAGAAGCAGGGCGGGGCTTGCTTTCTGCACTCTTTTCGTCTTGATACTTCTTTGTTTTCATTTGATGCTGTTCATAAGACTAATTTGATCTCGGCAATTTGTTCCTTACTGGTCATGAAAGAATTGATTAATCTGTCCTATCACTATTGAACCTAGCTGTATTTTGTAGGAGGGTATCTCTTTCATCATATAAGAGGAAGTTTGTGGAATGAGACAACCAGTGTATGCTCTTCTCATCTTATAATACTATACTTTTATCTGCCTCATTTTATCCTTCACCGCATTCTCTCCTCTTTCTTGTTATCATTTTCTGGCACTAGGTTGCTTACACCCTGAGCTATTTTTGTTTTCAGCTGCTTCCCTGCTATCCAAATATACGCAGGATGTATCATTCTACCCCACACTAGAATTATCTAGGGCCTCATATCTACCCACCTCACATGAACTCCCTATCTTCCCAATCCCAATACCTCCCGCACCATTTGTAGGAAAGGATAGCTACACACGTTCCAATACCAGTAGAAGCTGTGATGGTACTATTACGATTAGTAATGTCAACAAGAAAGTGATTGTATATAATTGAAAGTATCCCTTATCTATACAAAAATAACTGATCCAATCCTCAGTACGGGTTTGACATTTTGTTGGAAACATCACCTGGTTTCTTCAGAATATCAGGAATTGCAAGGTGGAGACAATATCGCTGGGTATTAATCAAGTATCTCTGGAAGGATATTCGAATGGGTTTTGATAGTTTAATTAGTTGCTGGACAGGGCATTAATGCCAAAAATACGTTTTTGGTGATAGAAGCTTGAGAATGTATGGTATAGGTTTATTAGCTTTAATTGATATGTTGATACTTCAGCATTATACAGATTCCAATAATCTCATCGTGTATCCAGTACTTCAGATACTGTTATGAAAGAATTCATCCATTATATGCAAATACTAATTGTTCCCTATCATATTTGGTTTTCTTTCTTTAACTTCAATCGACTTTAATATTTATCCAATCTTCATCTCAATCAAACTGAGTATCGTAATAAGATATGTGAAGATTGGATAGGTGAAATCTTTCAGAAAATGTAAATTCAAAATAGTAATCGATACTTTCCACAAAATAAATATTCTTGTATAGCATTGTGGATTTACATCTTAAATTATACAAGGATCTGAATAGTGTATGCCCAAAGATGCCTTAAGATGTAATTCAATCTATTCAATTTCGATATATACATCAAATAGCATCCCCCTTCTAATATCTACTTCATTCTTTGATATACTATCAACCTCACACATCAATCTTTTACAATGATTGTCAACTCTGGTATAAAACAAACTAAAGGCCTAGTAAAGTATATCTATATCGATTTAGGCACTGGAGGTCTTCGCATGGCCTGTAGTATCGAAGGCAGCGAAGATTGCAGAGAAATCGGAAACTATCCTGGAGCGCAAGCAGATACTCCATCTCTTGTTTCTCAAGCGCCAACAAACATTATATACGAACCAAATGGCGATGAACCAGCCAAACCCGTGGCATTTGGTTACATTAAACCACACCGTCGTCAAAAACTTGTATCTGGAGTGAAGAATGCCCTTCTACCAGATCCCGAAAGCTATGGTTATGCCTATGCTGCTCTGATTGATGTAGCGGATGATCTCCACCTGAGATCTGTGCAGCAGATCCCAGAAGAATTCTTGAGGTTCGCCATCGAGCATGCGATCAAGGAATGCGGTGGGCAGCAGCCTACAAAAGGCTGGGTATTTTCAGTGCCTCAGTATTACAAGATTGAGGAAGTGCAGAACTTTCGAGCATTGATTCAAAGAGCAGGTTGTTTTGGTAATATATATATCCATGGTGAAAGCGATTGTGTTGCTTATGCAAATCTATCAACAATCGAGGATATTGTTAGCGGTACTAAAGAGAGTTTCTTTAAGAAAAAGCAGAACTATACCATCGCAGTTGGGATTTTTGATCTTGGAGCTGGTACAACTGTGAGTGATCTGTTTCAAGTAGAAGTGGATTGACTAACCTATGATAAATAGGATATAACCACCTTGGAGATCTGCTTCAAACATGGAGGACCACCTGCGATCAACGAATTGAGTGCCCCTTTAGGTATATTATAAGAATCAATACCGTATATTTAATGCTGATGATGATACTATAGGCTTTGCGATTGGAGGGGATTCATTTGATGAACGATTCATTGATCTCTTGCGTGCCAAACTCGATATCAATATGACTCTAGATAAAGAGCAGGCCTTCTTTAACCCGTTTGTGAATCATTTCCATCTACAATCAAAGCCACAATGGACAACAGATTTTGAGGATGAAGAATATCCATTCAGTGTACCGTATGGAAAAGATCAATTTGTATTAACAAAGTGAGTTTATCGTCAACTTTCTTTAATGTGATCTTCAGCTGCTAACTCAATAACAAGGGAGGATATGACTTGTATTATGGAACCACCGATTGATGAAACTTGCCGACGCATCGGCGAGCATCTTGCTCAAATAATTAGACCTTTGGACCTTGTCGTAATCTCGGGAGGGAATTCCGAGGTGCCTGGTATGGTAAATACCTTGTGCGCTATGCTTAAAGGAAAGAATATCATCGACGATGATCAAAAAGTAATTCATTTGGTGGGACAGTCATTGTAAGTACCAATTCAACGCAAGGGGAATTTCGGATTGAAAGAAGCTAATCTGGAAACACTTGTAGGAACGCGGTAGTTCACGGTCTGCATTACTGGATCAATCATCCTCAACTAGTCAGAGGTCGATATGCTCGCATGACTCTGGCTCGAGTGATCAAACATCATCGTACAGAGCTTAACCGCCATATCAAAGTGCCTGCTGAGGATGCAAAATTACCCAAATTGTATAATTGTGCTGAAAGGATCATGACTGAGGTAATCATATCTATGGAAGATTGAGTAGGATTATTGATTAATGACTTTCTAGGGAATCCTTGTTCCAGATGGCATTCAGACTGTTGATATCTACTTTGATATTGATATAAATGCCAAAAATTTGGACCTACTTCCTATCGATATATGCATTCCAAATAAAGATGCCGAAACTTACACTTCTAAAACCTGTCTCTGGAATTTTGCATCCGAGTGTAGGACTATAGGTGCTCTTCATCTAGAATCAACAATAACGAATATCGATATTGGTGCACTTAAAAAAGTTGCTAGAAAAAGGTTGCGTCGACTCTGGCTTCGTTTAAGTATCGGAGTTGATATTGATATCAACGTTGTAGTATCCTGGAGACCCGACGGACGCAAGCTTAAAGAAGACACGGAGTTCTGTTCAACCAAATTAACTTTGGAAAGTGTGAATCTATCTGGCCAAAGATTAGTGGATGAGTTTCGCGCTCCAATACAGCAACGAGAGAGCTCTAATTCAAACATTACCAACGATACCTTGCCGAATTATCTTCAAACGTTAAAGGCTGTCGGTGGAATGAAGACTCATTCGAAGAATTTATTTTCAACAAGCATTCTTCCTCATTTAGGTAAGAGAGTTTCTTTATATGAGGGTTTCAACAGAAATTATTAACATTGGTAGATTTCTATCATTCTGAACATGGTGTACACTTTGCTGCTTGGCTACGTGACGATTCGGGTAAAATCGGCAATCAAGAATCAATTACACAAGCGGTTCCATATTGTCCCGAGAATCTTAATCGCAAAAGAGCTTTCTCTGAAACAGAAATAGGATATGAGTATCCAATATCATCACAATCATATACTACTCCTTACCAAAGTCCTTACAATAATTCATTAGCAATAAATCCTTCGTTTCATTTACCTTCGATCTCGCATCAGAGTATACTGTCATCATCTACAGCCACAACACTTGCACCGTCATCTTCGAGCAATCCTCTATATCATCGTCACCAAATATCATCATATCCACCCCAATCATCATACCCACCTCAATCATCTGATATTTACGATGAAAATACATTGGTTAATCCACGGGATCTTTCATTTAACCACAATCCTACTAACTGAGTTTCAATACTAAGACGAGAAAATGGAAAACGGGTTTTTTGGAAGTTGTGACCAAAAGGGTGTTTATAGACCAGCAATTGTATTTAACTTAGAATCTACAGGTGAAGAGCACCTGTAGATGGGGATAGCTACTCTATATATAAACAAATGAATGGCCTAGCCGCAATGGCTAGGCAAAAAGAAGTCATATTTGTCCCTCCAATGATCTTACTTTACCGATAACCATTGATACCTAGTACTTGTCCGGATCTGATCCTCAGGTCACCTAAATCGTATACTAATCCCGAGTAATCGTATCATGTGTGGACATGGTTAATGTACCTGAGGTTTCTTATATAATAAGGGTGGGAAGAAAGCAGGGGTTTCCGTCACAAGAGTCATAATAGTTTCATAGTATAGGAGCTTTATGCTCAACTTAGTTATTAATTAGTTTACTTATATTTTATTTGATCTAGTAACGACTTCATTTCCAAGTGAATATTAGTAATAAAGCCTTAACCCATAACTATTGACTAGACAAAACCTTAGGCAGTCACTGCCTCTAGTACAGTATCGTTACATGGTCATAATTCAAGAACTTGTTAAAATAGTATAATAGATCCTAGATTATGTCACGATTCACTATTAGGATTAGTGTCCTGGGATGAAAAGGAATCACGTGATAAGGAGCCCTGAGGAGCTAGAAAGCTCCTCGAGGCTCCCTTTATCGTTCATTATATAGTCAGAATAGTTTCCTAGTTTAGGAGCTTCGTGCTCAACTTAGTTATAAATTAGTTTACCTACATTCTACTTGATCTAGTAACGACTTCACTTCCAAGTGAATACCAGTGATATAGCCTCAATGTTACGAAATAACAGTCAACATGTCCATATGAGCTTGGACCCTGTAGAAAAGCAAGTCGATTCACATACAAAATTGTATGGCAATTGAATCATAGAGTCTCCCCACCCTCAGCAAGCACAGACATATGATCTGATTAAAATCACGTGAGGGATCTAGAGGATCTAGAGAGTTAAACTCTAGATCCAGTAGATCCAAGAGATCCAAAGGAATACAATAGAGTATGAAGTTCTATATAAAGGATAGGTTTCCATTTGTAGAGCTTCGTGCTCAAGTTCAATCATTTAGTATACTCTACTATTAGTTACGAATTGCATATCATTATTGTCATTACTTAAGTCCCTGCTTGACGCCTAGTTATAAACCACTTCGAGAGCCTAGAGCACTTCCACGTGATCTAGACGGCAAACCTCGTAACACATATCTAGTTTAAATTATATTTCATTCTTTCTGATTCCTAATTACTCAATAAATAATCATCAATCATCAATTATCAAATATCAAATCTTTCCCCTCAATATCCTCAATCCTTATCCTCCTACTCATTCATCTCTCACTATCCTCAATACTAAAACCCCTCCCCCCTTATCCCCGCCCGCCCTCTCACAAATTAACAATCCCCACATCAAAAATCCCCTCTTCATTTCTCAATTCCGCTTCTACTTCCCTACTAACCACACCATCAATACCCTAAAAAGATTAATGCTTCATTTTTAATTTCTCCTCTTTTAGCCATATCGTTACTGGCTTTTTCTTCTTCATTATCCTCATCAC